TGAAAAAAAAAATTTTTTTTTTAAATAAAAAAATAAAATAAAATAAAATAAAATATCTTTGGGGCAGCTGGGTGGCTCAGTTGGTTAAGTGTCCAACGTGAGAAAGGCCATGATCTCACAGCTTGTGGGATCGAATTCCATGTCAGGCTCTGCATTGACAGCACAGAGCCTGCTTGGGATTCTCTCTCTCTCCCTCTCTCTGCTCCTCCTCCACTCGCGCTTTCTCTCTCAAAAATAAATCTTTAAAAAAATTAAAAAACAAAAATCTTAAAAAAATGTTCTGATATATCCTGCAGAATGATGATTAATACGTAATTATGAGGAAACTGTGGGGCAAGAACTCACATAAATTCCCAATTTTCAGGCTAGGTTTTTTTAAACACCTGAAATGTGATTTTCACACACACATATGAAGTAGGGGTCTGGGTCAGATGGTTGGGCATCTGACTTTGGCTCAGGTCATGATTTCAAGGTTTATGAGTTCGAGCCCCACGTTGGCCTCTGTGCTGACAGCTCAGAGCCTGGAGCCTACTTTGAATCTGTCTCCCTCTCGCTCTACCCCTCCCCTGCTCACACTGTTTCTCAAAACTAAAAAACGAACAGGGTGCCTGTGTGGCGCAGTTGATAAAGCATCTGACTCTTGATCTCAGCTCAAGTCATGATCTCAATGTGTGAGTTTGAACCCCACATCAGGCTCTGTGCTTGGGATTCTCCCTCTTTCTCTCTGCCCCTCCCCAGCTTGTGCTCCCTCTTTCTCTCTCAAAATAAACAAACTTAAAAATAATTTAATTAAAAAATTTTTAAGTATATGAAAATCCCATATTGTATTATTTTGAATGGTACTGATGTAAAAATTAAAGTAAGTTGGATTTCTTTGATAGCTGTAAACAATTATACCACACAGCATTTAAAACAAAGAAAATCAATATTAAGTGTGCTTTTAGAAGAAAATTATGAGTTCCTAGTTTTGTGTCTGCACAGAGCCTCCAATAAGCCATTGGCTAGAAGGTCCTCAGTCTGAGGGGATGCTGGAGAGAAATGTTTTACTCTTCTTCATGCATTAGTTCTGGGTGTGAAGAGATAGCTTATTCAATTCCCAGTAATAGAAGTACATACTATGGGACTATCTGGTGATGTGCTTAAGGCTTACCTGCAAATATTCTCATTTAGAAAACAGATAACTTTTTGGCACAATGCCTGGATAAGAGAGTGATTTGTTAAATATTGGTTGTCATTAATACCCTAATTCCTATTGCAAATTACCAAAATAAAACAACTAATTAGAAAGTACACTGCAAATCTGACTCCAATAATGAGGAAACAAACAAAGAGTTCAAATGGTTATATTAGTGACAAGAGTTTCACAGCAAGGTGTACTGGGTCCTAGAAGTCTCCTTACTTATTGCTGACTATGGGATAAGAGGGAATGTGGATGAATGTTAGTACAGCTCTTGGACCATGGCTAACTTACTCCCCATCTAAAGAAATTCTTTTCACAATCAATTCCGTATGTATTATATATAATAAAATGGTATTTCTTCTGTGTTTATTACATAAAATAAAATGGTACTTCTTATGAAGAGATGATAGGGCCCAAGAAAAGACATCCACACATAGAAGACATGTTATGAGAGAGAGATGGGAGGAGGGAAAGGGAGAAAAAGAAATATCGATCTCCTTTAATAGAACAGTGTCTCTTAAATCAGGGAATTCTACTTGGGATACCATGAGGATGACCATAAAAGAAATGCTGTCTTGAATTGTATGCTCATAATAACTCCTAGGATAATACATCACTTTTTTTTATGGATATTATCCCAATGGCAGTTGATCAAATCAATTTCATTTAATTGCCTTGCCTTGATACTTGGACAACACAGATTGAGTTACATGACTTCAACATCTTCTTCTCCCACTTAGATTTGACTTAAAAACCTCAGATCCAAACAAAGACAATTGGAATTTGGATGCTCCTTAAGATGAAACCCAGGAACAAAATCAGCTGCCTTGGTCTCAAGGTAAGAATCCACTGGTCCAAATGCATTTCTTCAGTGGATCCCAGAGAAAGTGAAAACGGCTCTGCATATTGGGCCCATATACTCGACAAAAAAATCATTATCTTAGGAGGCACTTACAGCTTGTTCTGGGCATCCTAGCGTCAGAAATAAAAGCATGGCCCCACAGCTGGGTGTGACAGGCAGGTTCTTAGCACACAAGGCTCTGGGCCTTTTGTCTTGCTGCTCTAAGCAGGGTGGCATCCTGTTCTGTCAACCTCAGGGATTCAGGGGGAGTGTCAGCATTATCTTCCTAGGTTCAAGTTTTCAGTTCAAATATGAGAACTGTCCTAAAAGACACCTTCTGTTCCATGTTCTCTTGTAGAATACTTACCAAAAGCAGCCAGAGAAGACTGGACATCCATCACAAGACCTCAATCACATATCCTACTTCAAGCTTTTGAGAGGAACCAATTCCCTGATAGAACAACCAGGAAAAAACTGGCTAAAATAACAGACATTCAGGAATCAAGAATTCAAGTAAGTTCTGTCTATAGCACCAAATATGTTCTACCTGTAAGTGATGTTATATTTCCCTCTGATGGGCTGCTGAAAAACTGACCTGAGATTATCACAATCATTATGGGTAACAGTATGGATTGGTAAACATCTAGCATTGCAAGTCAGATTCCTGCAAAATGAAGAATTCTGTCAGTGTGATAACCATTTAGAATCTCCAGCAGCAAAAATGGGGGGAACTATGAAAGTTAGTACTATCTATTTTGGGAATACCCTGTCAGGTTTTCTACAGCTTGACATTGCTTGGTCATTTTGGTCCAGATAATTCCTTTCTTATGAGGTTGTCCTGCACCTAATCAGTATTTTTAAGCATTCCTGGCCTCAACCAAATACCCTGCCTACCTACCCCTCCACCAACTTGTGACAGCTTCAAAAATCTACAGACTTAGTCCCATGTCCTCCAGTTGAAAGAAAAAAAATCACTCTTACTGGGTACCTTCTAAAGTTATGAGGACAGTGGTTTAGTGTATGTTAAATGCTCAAGACTAGGAAACACATTCATAGTTTTATCAGTACAGTTAATTAATCCTTGATCAGATTTATTTATAACCACGTATATAAGATTGGGATTCTTATACACATGTTGGCAAAGAGATAAATGTCAACCTGGTCAAGAAAACTTATTTGCTGATCCAATGTTGAAATTAAAGGGAAGAATCTAAAGCATATGCCTTTTCAACCAGTTTCAATCCATCTATAGTTGATTGCTAAGTGTGTTAGGACCTCAATTTTTGTGTTTGTACGTGTATACACACATTCATATGTACACATATATACATACACACTATACACAGGAATCAGAGTAATTAATGACATATATATGCAATAGTTCTATTTCACATGAAACACACCCACACACACCCCATCCCGATAATGGGGCCTGTATTAATAGCCCCTTTGCTTTACATAGTATGAGAAACCGAGCCAGAATCACTTGTCTTATGACACTGTCTTTTTCTTCACATAGATGTGGTTTCAGAATTAAAGATCTCTATACCCAAGGCAGAGAAGTGAGTCCATGAATTCCTTGGCAGACAGCCCAAATGCAAGACCAGGTCTGACAGCTCAGCACCACCAAATTGATCTGCCCACTTTCCCAGGCAGGTCTCATCATTTTGCTTCCTCCCATTTTTTCCGTAGGAACCAAACATTTCTACCTGCTCCTCTCCCATCCCAGGAGTCCTCTGTCTCTTGTGTGAACCAAGGACCAAGCGTCATGATGGTACAGCCCAGAGACTATGCAGACAGAATTCTTTACTCTCCTCGGAATTACCGGCCAATACCATCAACTCTGCGAGTCTCAGATACTCAGGCTCCTTTCTGGCCGCCAAAGCAAGAAAAGTGCCAGAATCACAAAGAATAGAAGCACACAGGAGTACTACAGTTGAAGGACTACTCTCAGCCTCATCCTGAGCACCAAAACCACCAACTGCAGGATCTGGGGCAGGTAGACATATATTCTGCAATGGTGGGATGAAATCTGCCAGACTCTGATTGCAAAGTGGGATCCTCGAGGAGGGACACACTGAGACACTCATCCGCAGCACAGTCAACTGGACAACCATCTCATTCCCTTGGCCAACTCACCAACAATGTGCAGAAACCTCAAGCCTTTATGTCAACTGTTATCCACAGATTTTCAGGAACAGGTACCTTTTCCGAGTCCTGGCCCACAAAAAGAGGACCCTCCAGGACCCCAACTGTGCTTCAGTGAAGATGCTTTTCAGGCTGTGTTCCATATGCTACAAAGCTTACCAAGGTCTGAGATTCCAGAAAAAGAAGTCATTCTCAGAACCTGGTCCAGACCTCTCTTCTTTTGATGCAAATCAGTGCAATTTAAAGGACACTGGATAATGAAGTCATCCTGTTTGGGACAAGATTAATGCAAGAGGAAGGAGAAACCACTTGGAAACACAAAAGGCAGTTTTTAACTGTTTTGTGGGCAGTGGTTATCTTCTATATTCACTTCATTGAATAAAGAAAGGATGGTTTCTAAGCTGCATACAGCCTCTGGAAGCACCATAGGCCAGTAGACAGGTCTGCTGAATCCTTCTGAACAAAAGCATTTCACTGATAAACATGACTTCCTCTTTAATCACGATGTCTACCAATCTGGAATTTGCATGAACTATAACCATACCCAAGCAAGAACATATCTACGTGCTGACACATTAGCACTCCTTTGCTTCCTAGCAAGATGGGAAAGCCAGCTTGAAATTAGTTTGTCATGCAGAAAATGAAAGGACAGTATATTTCCTGATAATGTGAATTCATAAAAGTGAGCTTTTCCCCAAATCTCTGAGGGTTTCAACTGGGAACCAGAAACTATCCCACTATCTACCAATAAGAGAACGATTAAATGAATTACGTTAAATCCACAATACTGAGTATTCTTCATTTATATTGTTTTTCCTTTGACTACTTAAAACATTACAAAAAAAAAAATCACAATGAAAATACAGCAGCAACACCATACAACCACTTAGTCTAACACGTTAATCTAAAACTGGGATAGGGGCGCCTGGGTGGCGCAGTCGGTTAAGCGTCCAGCTTCAGCCAGGTCACGATCTCGCGGTCCGTGAGTTCGAGCCCCGCGTCAGGCTCTGGGCTGATGGCTCGGAGCCTGGAGCCTGTTTCCGATTCTGTGTCTCCCTCTCTCTCTGCCCCTCCCCCGTTCATGCTCTGTCTCTCTCTGTCCCAAAAATAAATAAAAACGTTGAAAAAAAAAATTTTTTTTTTAAAAATAAAAAATAAAACTGGGATAAAAATTTCAGTCTTCTCTCTTCTTCTGAAATGATAATACATCTCAAAGTAGATTTTGGTGTTTGAAGGTGTATGTGGATTTACCTTAGTGCTATAAAAACATCTTTGAATTTTATCAATTTGCATTGTTTGAACCAACTCAAAAGGTTAGGTCCAGGTTTGATGAGAACAGTGATTAACATTCCACTCCTGGATGGATCTTCTTATTCCTAGAGAAGGTGGCTAGAATTTGTACAAGTTTTTAGCAAACTCTTATTTGGGTATTCACCTTCCCTTTCATGTCACATTCTCAGGGAAGGTTACACAAACTGCAACCCAAGAAAAATAGACTTTGATTGATTTAAGTTAACCCAGTCAATTTCATTTAGGAAGAGTTAGGAAGGCATATGTGCCAAATTTCTGGCCAATGAGAAATCAAGGGGCTTCCAAGAAAGATTGCACCCAACTTTTGACCATGAAGGAAGCAGCCTAGAAGACAAGCCAGGGACAGCAGAACAGAAAAATAGAGAGAATCCTGAAGGTAACTACCTCAGGACTTCCTATACATATAAGATATAAATCCCCTTTTTATGTCCCTTGTTTCAAGTCCTTTAGATGAAGTTTTCTGTTACAAGCAATTAAATACAACTTACAGGTATAGGCAAAGGGGGAATATAATCCAGCACACAGCATTAGACCAAAACAAGAGAAAAGCTCAACAATCCAAGTGTCAGCTTAAACTTTTAAAATGCAACCATACCTGCTTAAAGGGATACGGAACAAAGGAAAACCGAATACCAGGAGCAGAGCCCACTGCTGCGGTTTGCAAAGAGGAGACAGAAAGAAATGTTTCTGCCACTAATGAAGTTGTACAAGTTATTTAAGACCTAGAGAATTTGAAAAGCTCAACTGTGGGGTTAGTGGAAAACAGTGAGGAAGGCGTCTAACTCAAGAGCTAAAATGAGTAAGAAATGATGTTTCCCAGAGCACAAGCCTCAAGAAGTCAAGGAAAGAAAACCCAAAGAATAAGAATCTGGCAGAATAAAGGAGAGGTATCCTAACTTTAGGAATTGAACAGCTGGTCTATGGAGCAGATGCAGCCATAGCTCAATGCCATTAACCATTAAGATCCAACTCATTTTCCTTGCTTAGATTTGTGCTCCCAAAAATACTTGATAATTTGTTTCCCCACATATTATCTCCCAGCCTAAAAAGTAAAACACCAGATAAATGTCAAAAACAGGTATTTGGAAGTTACTGGTTTATAATGAGTACTTAAGTATCTTTTCAGAGTCTAGATATAATGAATCAGACCCTTTTGCACATGCTTTGACAAAACAAATTTCTAGGCTTGTAAAGTTGTACGAACTTTACTAAGGTATAAACAACCCAAATGACATCTCCGTTTCACACATGAAGTATTGATTTTCAACCACTCTAGAGTCATATCTGATTGGACGACACATTTTAAACAAATGCCTACCACCCAACCCTTCCCAATATCCACTTAAAAGTTACTCCTGGAGTGAGCTAGATACTCCTGGGAATAGTTTTATCCTTTCAACATACTCAAGAGAAGGGCAAAGTGAAGCATTTTGATTTAGAATGGGTTCCTCCAGAAGCAGACTTTAAGAATTCGTGTTTAACTGAGGATCCCACGATGCATTTTATTAGGAAAGTGCAGATGTGAAACCACAGAAGGAAGCCTATGCAGAGTGCGTTCATAAACAACTACCACTCTGGGCAACCATGCTGGTTTCTGCTGGGGACCTTTAAAAGATGGTATGGAACCCATTATCTCACTCAAGGGGTGCGTCTCAAATATTCACTTGTGTCATTTCTCTGGACAGCAAGGAAGCTGGATATGCATCCTCTAATTCTCATCCGCCATCAGCCGAAAGCCACTCCCAGCAGCATGAACTCCAGAGCACTTCAAGCAGAGGGGAAACCTTAAGAAGGTGCTTGCAGTAGGACCCCTATTTGTGGCATGTGCGGGAATGTAAGTGCCCAAGGGATACGGGTAGGGCAGAGACACCTTCTGTTACACACCTGATGGTTCCTGATTGGCTTCTCACCCTTCGGCTTTCAGCAGCCCGTGGTGTTCTCCCGTCCCTCACAGTCCTTGACGCAGATCTTCTCTCTGCTCCATCCATAAAATCTAGCATCCTTCTAGTGGCCTACTAGTTCTAATATGGAACCATTTTGTTCATTATTGACCTAATTAAGAGCCAAGAAATGTCAGTTCCTTTATGGTTTTTATATCGAAAAGGTTTCATGAATACAATCAAAGAAAACACTTGGAGATTCAAAGTTCTTTTTATTTTCAACAACAAAAATAACACAACAAAGAGGAATCAATTCACTAATATATAAATCTAACACAGTCCTTAGCACAAAATTGTCTTTAATAAATAAAAACACATTACTGATAACTGAGTAAGACTGTTCTTAAGACTCTCTAGGGTTTTGTGTGCGTTTT